CTGTGGGCAGTCCCAATCCTAGGCAGGTGGGCCTGGGCTATAAGAAGGGCAGAACTAGGGAGCCAATAAGTAGCATTCCTTTGTGGTTTCTGCTTCCAGTTCCTGCCCTGACTTCCTTCAATGTTGGGTTGTGACTGAAAGTATAAGCCAAATAAACCCTTTCCACCCCATGGTGTTTCTTACAGCAACAGAGATCGAGCTAGAAGAATGTCTACATATAATTTTGGGTCCACCATGCTGTGTGTGTTCAATATCTAAGAGGGCATTTCTGCACCTCTGGTCTATTTATGTATAGGATGTCGTCACATTTTCTCCCTAAGGGTTTTGTAGACACACACTCTCAGTCAACAAAGCAGAAAGGAGAGCCGACGATAATTGATTATGCAACCTTTATGGGGGGAAAGACAGTGACAAGCTACTGGTGCTCCTGCTGGGAACAAATTCACCAAACACAAGAGAAGAAAAGGAGGGTTTAATAAGATACTGCAAAAGCCTTGGTGGGCAAGTTCTTGGAGAAATGATCACACCCACCGGAAGGGACAGCTCTTCTTATAGGAGTTAAAGAAAAATTGTTGTCTTATTGGCTGAGACACGTATGTGTGTGAGGTTCATATTCAGGTGGTCAGGCAGACTGTTATGCCCAGATCGGAAAACCCAGAGAGACCACCAAGGACGAGCATACCACAATGCAAAAGCAAGGTTTACTTCTGCTGCAAGTCATGACAGGGAACTCATCTCAAGCCATCTCAAGTGAGGCAGGGAAGAGTTCCTCTTTCTTGGGGAAGTTAGTTTTTATAGGCAAAACCCATAAAATTTCTTAGAGGGGAAGGGGTTAGTACGGGTCCATCCTTGATTGGTCCAGTTTTTCCCAGGCCTGGGATTTATCTTATTCTAGCTTATTTGTTTGCCCTGTCAGGAGTTTTACAACTCATCTCCGGGGTCTGGTCATGTTATCTCCAGAGAGGGGCATCTCGTGGTTAATCAGTTACCATCAGACATCCTGACTTTGTTCTTTTGAGTTCCTGGGGCTGGCGCCATCATTTCTGGGGACTTGAAACTGGCCTGGGTCTATCTATATTGAGATATCTTTGTCTAAGGCCCCTTTTTTTTTGAGACAATAGAGTGAGGGTCTTGTTGTGCCCAGCCAGATCCTGTCCCCTAAAGCCACCACTGGAGACTTTAGGTACAGAATGCAAAAGCAAGGTGTATTCTAAGTTTACAAGCCTCCAGGGAGGCTCTTCTAAATCTCTCACTCACAGCAGGGAGGTTGGAAGGAGCGCTCCCCTTTCTTTGTGAGGCTAGTTCTTAAAGGCACAGACCATATAATTCATTTCAACCCGCCTCCCTTTTTTAGTCTTTTGGTCGAATATCCTCTGTGTTTTCCAAAGTCCCTGTAGCAGATACAGCCACCTGGGGAAAAGGGGTCTAAGTTCTTATCTACACTTAGGAATCCTGGTTTAAGCTTCTCTTCGTCTGTAGGGGATAGAGTGGGGGGGTTTACTGAGGTATCACACAGACATCTCATTATTTTGCTGAGGAATGAGTTTTACAATGTGGTTGTCACGTGTTGGCACTGGCTGGCTGTGCAAGGCACTGGGGCCAGTAGAGGTCAGACTTCTGAAGATCTGAGCCTACTCAATCAACCATGGATTTTTCTCTCCACACAGCGCGCTTGTCCGAATGCCTTAAAACAAAATGCAGCCAGAATTTGAGATTAACTTTTTCTGGTCCTACTCTGAGGCGGCAGAGGCCTTACACTGAGTCCAGCCTTCTTTGAAGCAAAAGCAGCCTTGTCTCCGGGTGAGACTAGTGCAGCCATGCGCATCAGAACATGTCCACAGTAATAAACAATGGGGTTCTGCTTAAACAAAACATAGTTTAGCCTATCCAGTGCCACTACTCTGGTTGACACAATAAAATTATGAGTAACAGTAACTATGTTTTTGTGACAATAATGCTTATTTAATTTGATTTTAGCTTGGTTTAATATAGTTATTAAGGACCCTGATGACTTTTATAGCAGAATGACAGAAAGAGAAAGGAACAGAGGTGGGATGGAGAAACTGAGAAGGGAAGATGATGATAAGAACATTGTTCAGGGGCCATGTGGATTCTTTATGCTGTTAGTAAATGTAATTTATATGATGGATTAAAGATGTCTATGGCTGGGCAGCGCTGGCCCACGCCTTTAATCCCAACTCTCAGGAGGCAGAGCCAGGCGAATCTCTGTGAGTTCAAGGCCAGCCTGGTCTACAGAGCGAGATCCAGGACAGTCACCAAAACTATGCAGAGAAACCCTGTCTCAAAAAGCCAAAAAAAAAAAAAAAAAAAAAAAAAAAAAAACAGTACATGAAATGAAAACATGAGTTGTGTGTAAAAAGCTAAGTAACACAAATGTCAGAGAGGTAAACCCCAAAATCCAAACCAACAGTGGCAGCAACTACCGCAGGTGATGGGACTGAGGAGGGATGGGTATGTTCTATCTTTGACTTTCTTGATCTTGGCATTGTCCGGCATTTTTTAAACCATAAAGAGTGTATTTTTAAATGTTTTTGAAATAGGCATTTTCAATAGTTAATGGTACTTGTCTTATCAGTGTTTTTGGTTTAAATCTTGTATGTGTTCCATATATGCATGAAATTCAGACTATGAGATCCAGTACTTTCAGGAACTGGATGTCAGAAAAGCCCAAGTTGGTTTCTCTGACACCAGGAAGAGGAAGAATGCTGAGACTTGCAGTCCAAGACCTGACCATGAGTGTCTCAGTTGGATCCACTCATGAAGACTGGCCAGCTAGTGTCCACCCCACCAAGCCTTCATTCCCACCATGCCCAGGAAATTGCACCAGGGCCAGCATCATTGTACCATGCTGGTTCCTCATATAGTGAGTTCCTTAAGAAGGGGATGCTGAGGGGCAGCAGGAAGGACATGGAGAATTTCGTAGTCTTAGTCAGGCAAGGTAGTACACTCTTCTTTGTGTGGATCTAACAGCTGACTAAGCAGTGGGTGGACTGGTTTCTCAAAAGCAACAAGTGAGCAAATGAACACCTCAAGGATTTGGAAGATATATATCTCCATATATATATTTAGGTAATTACCTAAACTCTAATAAGGAAACACATGGAGTGGATAAGAATATATGACATCTTTTCATGTTTCTTTGGGTTTTGAGACAAGCTCTCATGTATCCATCCCAGGCTGACTTCAAACTTACCATGGAGCTGAGCGCCTCCCTCTGTCTCATAATCACTGGGAATATGGTCCTGTACTACCACACCTGACTTTTCTGCGTTCAACTCTTAATCGAGAAAGAAGACAGAAACTTGCTGTGTTCAAACTCCAGCATCTTAGATTGACTGGTGTTGTAAACGGAATAATCACTAACCCCAGAAACCACGAAAAAAAGTATGAGTAGACACAAACACAAACACGTGTTTCTATAGTCAATGTGCCAGCTAGTTTTATTTGTCAACTTGATACTAAAATCACTCCAGGAGACTCAAGGAAGGATGGTCTAGATTGGGTTGGCCTATGGGCTTATTACAAGGGATAATCTCGATCATGTTAATCAAGGTGGGAAGATTCACCCTTTGGGAGTGGCACCATCCTCTAGGAAGGGGATTCTGAAATGTGTAAGCGTGGGGAACTCTAGCTGGTTCTTTGCTCTCTGCTCCTGACAGTGGATGTGATATGACTGACTGCTTCAAATTCCTGCCACCCTGGCCTCTCCACGATGATGGACTGTGACCGGGAATGGAAAGTCAAACAAGCCTTTTCTCCCCTAAATTGTTCTTGTCAGAGTATTTATCACAGAGACATAACGCTCACAAAAAGCAAGTCATCTGGAACAAGTTTCTGTGGCGGAAATCATTGAAATGTGCAGACAGTACATAAAGCTGACTGGAAAAAACAAAAACAAAAAAAACAAACCTTCCTCAGATGAATCTGTCAAACCTACTTTTGACCATCACAGGAAAAACAAAGATGAATTAAAGGAGAAAAATAGATATCTAAGTTTCTTGGTGGTTGAAGTCCTCATTATTGATCTCTAAGAAGATGATCGCACTGAACAGATTGCAAGAAGAACAACACCATCACAAAGCTGTAAGAAACCTATAAACGCAATCTTTACAATTAACAAACATACTTCTAACAGAGATTTTAGATAACAAGTGTTTCATCTCCATTTCTATACCAATATGCATTTCCAGAATATTCACATAACACTTCTTGCTTGTATAAACATATGATCACAACCTTATGAGGTAAGTTATGACTCCTATTTCTTTTATCCAGTAAAAGAAGAATCAGAGAATACCTTTCATAGGAATATATGTTCCTTGTCAAGATAATGAAGAAATCTAGCTGGACCTATTGATATCAATCTACAATTCCAGATACATAGGAGGTTGAGGAAGGTGGATCAATAGTTCATGGCCAATCTGATAAACAAAGTAAGTTTATGGCCAGCATGGGCCTCCCAGTGAATTCAAGGCCTGCCTGGGCAATTTAGGGAGAAGTGAGACCCTGCCCCCAAATAAAAAGCAAAAAGAGGCATGAAGATAGCTCTGTGGTAGGACATTTCAGATACTCAAGGTCCTGAGATAAATCCCAGCACCAGAAAAAAAAAAATTTTTTTTAAATGAGAAAAAGAAGAAATTTAGATGGGTCATTCACTGAAAGTTCTTACCATTCTACCGGAGAAGAGGAAAGGTGCCACAACCAATTCTTACTCAAATAAGAGACAGGAAAATGAATAAGTTCTTCAAGGAAGAACGTAGATTAAAAAATAATGGTTAACTAAGTTATAAGAGGTAGTTGGAAATAAGCCAAGCTTTCATAATTGATAATAACAATAATTAATATTAAGTCTCCATGTCATTATTTGGAGGCTGGCAATCCAAAGATAATCTGACAAAAAAAAAAAAAAAAAAAAAAAAAAAAAAAAAAAAAAAACCTTGTTAAAAGTCAGGCATTATGGCACATGCCTTTAATCCAAGTACTAAGGTCTCTGTAAGTTCAATACCAGTCTAGTCTACATAGGGAGTTCCTGGCTGGCCAGGGCCACATGAAAGGCCCTGACTCTAAATAAATAAATAAATAAATAAATAAATAAATAAATAAATAAATAAATAACATAAAACAAACATAAATGAGAAAGAAAGGAACAGAAGGAAATGAATAGGCATAGGTTGTCTCATTTCAGTTGAAGAAATGAAACAGAATAGTCAACCAGTCAACACAAAATTACTAAAAATTATTTAGTAAAACATGCAAAGTAGCATTTTTGTGTGTTTTATAAGTCAATCCCAGTGTCTAGAAGAGTAGACACTTTTCTATATTTCCCTCCTCTGCAGAGAGGCTTTAGGCTCAGAAGCCTAAAGGAGGCACAGGGCTTCTTGGTTAATGTAAGTCACACTTGCACCAAGTTTTCTGGTTTGTAAAAGCATTTCACAAAGAGTCAGGTAATAGCCAAGCAAATTAAAGACCAAAGAAAAATAAGCCAAGTAGTCCATAAAGAATTTGAGTATTGAAGTTTTAGGGCTAAAGCAAATTTTTTTTTTAATTTGTTGTCGTATAACTTATTTTAAATCTGCTTGACTTTGATACCATGTCTCAAAGTCAAGCAGATTTAAACAGGTGAACCTAGAAAAATACCAAAGAAGAAGGGTAATTGCTGAGCAGCTTCATGAAGACTGCACAAGTAAGAAGAAAATGAAATGCTAGAAGATTCCATGGTCAAGTCTAAAGAATTTTGGAAGGCTCAGTTAGAGTTAACAAGGCAGAAATGAAGGGATAATGAAGGCAATGGAGGATTCCAGGGCATTATTAAAGGGAGAGCCCTTAAGTTTTGAAAGCCAGAAGTCAGCCCATGAGACTTCAAAGCAGAAATTCATAAACAGGTGCTGTTTTTGAGTAGACAAGAACAGCATGCTGATGATTTACCAAAGCACGGTATCATTTCACAAAAAGGACCTCAGAAGAAGGTACCAGCCTTCAAAACCTACAGAGGACTGAGTTGAACTATGCGGGCTATCATTATAAAACCTTACTTCTTATGATTAACTCACAGAGCACTGAGCCATGATTTCCAGGTTCTCCCTGTGGAGCACTTTCCATCCAAGATTCTCCACCTGCTTCCTAGCAGACATGTGTTCTCCTACAGACTCCACTGGGGTTCATACCCCTCACCCATCGCTTACTGTTTGTTCTTCAACCCACAGGGCAGTTTCGAAGGCATAAATAATGAGGATGACTATTTGGTGTGAAGCTTCTGACCTGGAGGTAATTTGAGCTCAGCTAGCATAGCCTTTATTCAGTTTGATACCAAGAGGAGAGGCATACAAAATATGTGCTAAAATCTGGCTAGGGCCAAGGTACGGGAAAAGTGAGAAGCAAGATGCTGAGTGTGATTATCTATCTTCATTATTAACTTGACTGGATTTTAAATCACCTAGGAGACACAATTTGAGCATGTCTGCGAAGGTGAATCCAGAAAGAAGACTCAGCCTGAATGTGGGCAGCACCATCCCGAGGCCTGAGGTCCAGAAATGAATTAAAAGGAAAAAAAAAGTGGAAGCCAGAAGCACCAGCATGGATCTCTGCTTCCTGTCTTCAGACACCGTGTGACCAGCTGCCTCACATTTCTGCCATCATGGCTTCTCCACTGCAATGTATCAGCTCAAACCATGAACCCAAACAAACCATTTCCTCCTTAAATTGCTTTTCTCAGGTTTCTGGTAACAGCCCTGGAGAAAGTAACTGATACATTGAGCAGTATAGACAATGTATCAACTGTGCCATCATTTGTTGTGCGGGCTAGTTTTATGTCAGCTCAGCACAAAACAGTCATTTGGAAAAAGGCAGCCTCGACTTATAAAATATTGCCACCAGATTGACCTGTAGGGCAAGTCGGTGGGGTATTTTCTTGATTGATAATTGATGTCAGAGGCCCAGCTCACTGTGGGTGCTGCTACCCCAGGGCTGGTGTTCCTGGGTGCTAGAATAAAACAGGCTGAGCAAGCCGTTAGGAGCAAGCCAGTAAGCAGCATTCCTCCATGGCCTCTGCTTCAGCTTTTGCCTCCAGGTCCCTGCCCTGTGCTCTGGCCCTGATGTCCCCCAGTGATGGAGTGGAAACAAATGAGTGGTGAGTCGAAATAAACCCCCATCTACTCACCCCAGGTTGCTTTTTGTCCTAGTGCCTTTCACAGCAATAGAAATTCTAATTAAATAGTTTGTCCTATGAAGATAGAATTGCTATTTATTTACCTGACTAAAAACTTCCATTGTAAAGAGTGAAAAACTAAATGTGCACTAATGGAGTTTTATGGACAGGGAAGTCTCCCTATGTCTTCAGATGTTGCTTGAGGAATTCTTACAGTACTCTTTATTTTCATGAAGATACATGGAATCACCAACTCAAATTCTGTGACATTACATACTTAATATGAAATCTGTAGGACTGACTCAGAGTCTAGAACCTTAGCAAATTACATGCAAACGCAAATGGCCCACGTTAGGACTTCTTCAGAAATCTAGACACAGAGTTTCAGAGTTTTGAAGATCATTCATTTCATCAGTCCCTGTGGTAAATGTTTACTAACACAAGGCACATTAGGAGGCCAAGACCTCAGGAATCTGACCAAAGCACGAAAGCCTCATGTTGACAAACAAATAGTAAGAAGAGTATGCCCCAAACCCTGGAACCATCCACCCAGGAGAAAGATGTGCTGGCTAAGGGCAACTGTTCTGGAAGGCCTTGTAGATGCAAAGAGTGGGAACAAAACACTTCAGTGCTACCTCATCAAGAGAACACTCTCACATCTGCCTATTAATGAGTCTAATTCCAGCTACTTTTAGAACATAAAAGATAGTTTACCTCAGCCAGATTATAACAACTAACACTAGATGGTGTGTATTGGCAATATCCCCACGTCTGCAGTTAGTAAGGGCTCCAGAGTATCTTCAGCTCACTGACAAGTGAGCACCAACTCTGGCAGGCATTATACAGGTCACTGTGCTACAATTTTTTTCCCCACATGGCTTCTCTGATGTTGAACAAGATATGAAGTTCGGGTAAAGCCTTTTCCACATGCATCACACTGGTAGGGTTTCTCACCAGTGTGGATTTTTTTATGTTCAATAAGGCTTCTATTCTGAGTGAAGCTTCTCTCACACTCATTGCATTGATAAGTTAGGGGAGTTTTAGTATCATTCCGTTGGCTTTCCACCCTACTCTGACCTTCCTGGGCCTCTCCATGCAGAGGCTTGTGGGCAGTTTTATCACCATGGGTCCTCTGATGTCTCAGGAGATGTGAGCTCCGCCTAAAGGCTTTGCCACACAACTTGCACTGGTACGGCTTCTCTCCAGTGTGAATTTTGTGATGTTCAAGGAGGCTGCAGCTCTGGGTGAAGGTTTTCCCACAGTCATCACACTCGTAGGGCTTTTCCCCAGTGTGGGTTCTCTGGTGCTTGATGAGGTTCGAGCTGTGGCTAAAGACCTTGCCGCATTCTTCACACTCATACGGCTTCTCGCCAGTGTGAACCCTCTGATGAATGACAAGGGCAGAGCTCCCAATGAAGGTCTTCCCACAGTCTTCGCATTCGTAGGGCTTCTCTCCAGTGTGGATTCTCTTGTGTTTGGTCAGGCCTGAACTTTGAGCAAAACTCTTTCCACATTCATGGCAATAGTGTCGCCTACTCCTTGTGGCATTCTTCTGTGTTGTCTGTGACTTGCCTTCCTGCTCACTGGCTTCTGCACCTGCAGGAATCTGAGCAGTGTCTTCAGTCAAGAAGCACACTGGCTGCTCAGGCTTTTGTTCAATGTAGTCGTCAGCTGGAAACAAGTCCCTGGTTTCAGTCTCCATTTCCAGGCCTGAAACACAATTGTCAGCAGGTGTTAACTATGCTTTGCATGGGAGAAAGCTCTGAGAAAAACAGCTAGGAGGCAAAAGTTACAGAGCTCTCTGAATGCCAAGGGCAAATATTTAAATTAAATATTTAATAGTTCATTTATTTTAATAAATAAATATGTTATTAATTATTAACTATATATTTTAATATAATTTAAATTATATTATTTTAACATTTTAATGTTTAGATTTAATATTTCAGTGCAGAAATAAGAGTGAGACTAGAGGGAAGAACAGGAGTGCTGGTGAGGAAAAAAATCTGATGGGAATTGGGATTAAATAGAAAAGCAGAAAGTAGGGGAAATGTGATAAGGACCAAGACCATGAAACCCAATGGACAACCAATCACCACAAAAATTCCTGCAAGCATTTAATAAAACATGAGAAGTGTCATTTTTTTGTACTTTATAAATCCTTTCTAGTGTCTAGAATATTAGGTTCTAAAAATATTTTTCTGTATCCCCATCTTCTCTAGACAGGCTTTAGGTCAGAAGGCTAAAGAAAGGAGGCACTGTGATGTGATGGAGGGGTGAGAGCGCGGACTCTAAGAATAATAAAGCTGAGATGTGCATCTAAGATTAGATACCAAAGCCTGTGCAAAAGCAACAGAAACAGCACATAAAAGTATTTCTGAAACATGTTCTAAGAGACTAAGGAAGTAGAGACTCCCGGAAATCAGTCATGGGTGGCTGATATGCAATGCCACCTCTGTTCCCATCACTGACGAGGGGGTTAGAGGAAGTTGGAGGAACCATCAAAGAACTCTGTGGCTTCTGATACGCCATATTACCCTCTGTGACTTGGCACTCTCACCTCCAAGGTCAGGGACTTAGGTCCAGCACCTAAGGTCCAGCACTTCTAGACTCCCAGAATATGACTTTGAGGCCCAGTTCCTATTAGGAGGCTGGTCAGAGGTTGTAGTCCACCGTTGGAACATGAATCTTAAAGGGTCTTATTAAATAAAAAACCTGGAGCTAGATATTGGGGTTAAAATCTGAGAGATCAGAGGAATAGGAAAAGCCAGAGCTAACCTCACCTCACCACCTCTGTAGCTTCCAAAGAGAGCTGCTTCCTTATACACACGCCTATATGCCTTGCTGTTCTGCCATCTCATTTCCTCTCTCCGCCCAGCTCCATCACTTCCTGTCTGTCCGTACAGATCTCCAGACCTTTATGGTTAACTAGCGTTGGAATTTAAGGTGTGTGCCACCGTGCCTGGCTCTGTTCCCAGTGTGGCCTTGAACTCACAGAGATCCAGAGAGATCCCTGCCTCCCGAATGATAGGATTAAAGGCATGTGCTACCAGCACCTGACTTCTGTGTTTACTATAGTGGCTGGCTTTTTCCTCTGATCCTCAGATAAACTTTATTGGGGACACAGATAAAATATCACCACATACCATGGCCTGGCAGCTCTCTCCAAGCTTGATAACATGGAGGACTCCCTCCCCAGCAAGACTTCCTGCTCTCTACCTGCCCTTTTAGAGATCTTTAGGCCCAGAGGCCTCACCTTATCTGAAAGCTATCCCTCAGCCTGGATGCCTGATTTATCTCTAGTGTGAGCCTTGGCATAGTTCCCCGCTAGAGCTCCCCCGCTGCTCATTGGTGAATAGACTTTGTGTAGGAGCTTTACAAGAGGACCGTTCTTCCACATATGATAACTATGACGTGTACTAGGAGCTTTATGATAGAAGGGTGCTATTCACCGGGCGGTGGTGGTGGTGGTGGCGGCGGGCGGCGGCGGCGCACGCCTTTAATCCCAGCACTCGGGAGGCAGAGCCAGGCGGATCTCTGTGAGTTCGAGGCCAGCCTGGGCTACCAAGTGAGTTCCAGGAAAGGCACAAAGCTACACAGAGAAACCCTGTCTTGAAAAACCAAAAAAAAAAAGAAGAAGAAGAAGAAGAAGAAGAAGAAGAAGAAGAAGAAGAAGAAGAAGAAGAAAAAGAAGAAGAAGAAAAGAAGAAGAAGTGTGCTATTCAATGCAAATTAGGTGATGCCCCAGCCACTGTTCCCAGTCTTTTTATCTCCCTCTCTTTCTGGCATAAAGGGAGCTGTCACACTTAAACTGTCTCCCCAAAGCGCTATCTCCATAGACCCACTAGCTGTCCTACTCACTTGCTTCTGCTCCCTCCTGCTGGTGGACTCCTAGTGGAGAACAAAGCAAGGACCAGAGGGTTTAAAGAGTTAGTTACACAGCTGGGCACTAACAGGACTCAGAAATGGTAATTCCGAAACCAAACACAGCAAACTGCTTCTCGGGATCAAATAGCTTCTTTGTTTGTTTATTTTCTGTTTCTGTTTGGTTTTGGTGTTTCCAGACAGGGTTTCTCTGTGTAACCCTGACTGTCTTGAAACTTGTTCTGTAGATCAGGCTGGCCTGAAACTTACAGAGATCTGCCTGCCACTGCCCTCCAAGTGCTGGGATTAAAGGCCTGAGCCACCACCACCTGGCTCAAACAACACACAGAAGAAAGGACTTTGGGCGCTGATAGTGCCTGTCAGTTCTTCTCCAAGGAACTAGGATACCAGAGCTCTCCTGCCTCTCATCTCTATAGAGGTTCATCTGAGATTAATCCTGCTCTGGCCACCCACGTGAGAAGGTCAGCAACTCTTAAGTACCTCCTTCTCACGCTCCCAAACCAGGGTACATGCAACGGTACATACAAACTGTTTAAAGGGGCTCTTGAAAAGGGAACAAGTCTTTTAAGGCATATCTCCACTTACTTAACTCTGTATACCAAACTCTTAACCAAGCACAATGGTGCATGCCTATATTCCGAGTGAGCACTTGGGAGACAATGAAGATCTCCGTTCAAGTCAAGCCTGGGCTATACTGAGAGATCGTGTCTCAAAAAGAAACAAACTGTCAACAGTGGCTATATAAATGGCAGGAACTATTACATGCATGAGAGTAGGTACTTTCCTATGAATATATAACTGGCGCAGGAGGTAAACAGGCTTAGAAAACAAGGTTCTGTGAAACCATTTCCAAGCTTCCAAAGATCTGTGGTTGATTTGGCAAACTGAAGGTGAGGGCACATCACATTAATTTTTTTTTTCTAATAAAATAAAATCTGGGTCCAGGGTGAGAAAAAAAAAATCAGGAAAAAAAGTAGAGAATAGTGCTATGGGATGGTCTGTATGTCAAATTACTCTGATTGGTCAATAAATAAAACACTGATTGGCCAGGCGGGAAGTATAGGTGGGACTAACAGAGAGGAGAAAAGAAAGAACAGGAAGGCGGAAGGAGACACTGCCAACCGCCACCATGACAAGAAGCATGTGAAGATGCTGGTAAGCCATGAGCCACATGGCAAGGTATAGATTAATGGAAATGGATTAATTTAAGCTGTAAGAACAGTTAGCAAGAAGCCTGCCACGGCCATACAGTTTGTGAGCAATATAAGTCTCTGTGTTTACTTGGGTGGGTCTGAGCGGCTGTGGGACTGGCAGGTGAAAAAGATTTGTCCAGACTGTGGGCAAGGCAGGAAAACTCGAGCTACAAAAATATTATTATCACCCCAAACCCTGATAACTTCAAGCAGGATGTGGAAAACTGAATGAATGTGAAATTCTAGGTTATATAATCACCACTTTAGTAGCCCAAAAGGACGTGCTGTATCTGTCCCCTAACTGTAAGTCTTTGAGGGTAGAATCCCAGTCTTCATGTTCCTCTCTGAGAGTATACGCTATTATACTTTAAAACAACAAAATAAGGCTTCTGCAATAGCTGAATGGCGGAGTGCTGACCTAGAATATATGAAGCCCTCAGCTGTAACCCTAACATTACCAAAAACAAACAAAACAAAACACCTCAACTACCATTATTACACACACACACACACACACACACACACACACACACACACACACACAATCCTTTCATTTGCATTTCCTGAATTATCCTTGTTAAAAAAAGAAACCCCACCAATGAGGGGACTGGCCAAAGCAGTGAATGGGCTGGAAGAGATCTGAGAACACAGAGAATCCTCCAAGGCAGCCATAGAACAGAAAAGTCCCCTTAAGTGAGCCCCAAATGGAAACTTCTGCTGCTGTGTAAACTTAGGATGAGGATGGAGAACTGTAGAGAAAGGACCATCTTAGTCACTGTTCTATTGCTATGAGGAGACACTACTACCAAAGCAACTCGTGTAAAAGAAAGCATTTAATTGGGGTTTGTGTACAGTTTCAGAGGTTAGTCAATTTTCATTGTGGTAGGGAGCATGGCAGCAGGTAGGTGTGCTGTCAGAGAACTGAGAACTATAACCTGATCTGTAGGCAAACAGAGAGACTCTGGGTCTGACGTGGGCTTTTGAAACCTCAAAGCCCATCCCCAGTGACACTTCCTCCAACAAGGCCACACCTCCTAATCATTTTCAAACTGTGCTACTCCTTGATGACTAAGCATTCAAATACATAAACCTATGGGAGTCCTTCTTATTCAAACCACCACAAGGACCTAAGGAGAGGACCAGCAGTAAAAAGGATACTGAATGTGGGAGATGGGGAGAAGCTCATCTGGGGGGTAGTGGGCCTGGCAGCTATCACAGAATCTCCCCTGCTCCTGCACCCCTCAACTAGCTGAGAGACCTGGATCGCTAAGACAGAAGAAAGCTGTGAGTAAGATCACTCTGGAATGCAGCCTCCATGCCTTTCAAGGTTTAATAGGTTTCATTTACATCAGTTCTACTATTTCTAGGCATGGTGGTCTGAATGGGAACAGCTTCCATACATTCAAATGGTTTGAATTACTTGGTCCCCAGTTGGTGGAACTGTCTGGGAAGGATTAGGAAGATTAGCCTTGTTGGAGGAGGTATGTCACTGGGGTGGACTTTAAGGTTTCAAAAATCTATACCATCCCCAAGTAGCTCTCTCTGCCTCATGTTTATGGATCAAAACGTAAGCTCTCAGCTACAACTCAAGTGCCATGCCTGCTGCCCTACCCCCCCCAACCCACCGTGATGGTCATGAACTCCAACCCTCTGAAACTGTAAACAGGATCCCAATAAACTCTTTCTTCTATAAGTTGCCATGGTGTCTTATCACAGCAATAGGAAAGTAACTAAGACACTGGGATGCTCTGACTTTACAAAATGTACCTTATTTTCTTTGTAGCACTCTTGAACATCCAAAATTGCACTATTGATTTTTCTGCTATCACTAGAATTTAAGATCTATCAGAGCAAAAATTCAGTTTTACTAATGGCTCTATTCCGAGTGTCCAACAACAATGGCTATGGTAGAGAGGGCTCCAAAGAAATACCTACATACACAAATACACACACACACACACACACACACACACACACACACACATACACACACATACACACACATACACACATACACACATACATACACATACA